CACTGGAGGTCTTGAAGAAAAGGTCCTGTCCCATTATTCCAGCCCACATCTTAGTATCCTATGCCCTTAACACACACCCTATCTGGAGGTTTAGGTGCACTGGATTTTGATATGACTCAGACCCCCTCCTGGCTCAACCAACTGCATTCTCCACAGTAACCTCTTCAGAGCCAGGGCAGAACCTGACACTCCCCTGTACTATGGATTCAAAGACCCCCCTATTCGGACTTTCTCCAGACATCTTTTTCTGCATCACTTCCTTACATCTCACAGGCACAGACAATGGAGAGCTCAAATGCCACAGGGCACTTGTGCAGGCCCTCTCCATTTGCCTCTGATGCCAAAAGTAAAAAAAAAAAACCTATAATTGCAAACATGTTCAATAGCATTAAATAAGGCTGCTTGTTTTTGAAACCTACCCTGCTGATTGCTCTGACCCTCTCCACATCAACTTAATCTCTCTTCCTGCTTTACCCATTCTCCACAGTTTCTTTTATTACTCATCTCCATTTCCAAATAATTTAACCATTTACCCTTTTGCAAAGTCTCGTTTTCCCCCATTGAATTTTATGCCATTATACATCTTCTTGCAATGTGATTTAGCTCTGTGTAAACTGTGACAAAAGGAGGGGATTCCAGTGAACATACCGCTTTGCAATGAACCCGACTTTGCTCATTGCTCACTATCTCAAGCCAGTACTCATCCATCCCTCACATGCTGCAGAAGATAACAAATGACAATGGATGAATTTATTACAACACCGTCCCCACTGCCCATTGTCCCCACACTCTGTTCATTAATCCATATCTTACCTATTTCAAGGGATCCTAAAGGATACATTGCGTTGTGGCATGTTCTGCATACCCCAATACAAACTCCCAATATATATTATTAATTTCCCAGAACCTAAGTGTCTTAGGGTATGTCTACACTACCCCGCTAATTCGAACTAGCGGGGGTAATGTAGTCATCTGCACTTGCAAATGAAGCCCGGGATTTGAATTTCCCGGGCTTCATTTGCATGAAGCCGACAGGCGCCATTTTTAGATGCCGGCTAGTTCGAACCCCGTGGTGCGCGGCTTCACGCGGCACGGAGTAGCTAGTTCGGATTAGTTCCACGAGGCGTACAGCTAGTTCGGATTAGAAGCCTAATCCGAACTAGCTACTCCGTGCCACGTGTAGCCGCGCGGCACGGGGTTCGAACTAGCCGGCATCTAAAAATGGCGCCTGTCGGCTTCATGCAAATGAAGCCCGGGAAATTCAAATCCCGGGCTTCATTTGCAAGTGCAGATGACTACATTACCCCCGCTAGTTCGAACTAGCGGGGTAGTGTAGACATACCCTTATAGAACAAATAATAAGACACAGCCAAAGAGTTCCAAAGAGTTTAGTCTCATGTAAATTCAATGTGATGAATGATGTTGCCGAACTGTAAGGAGGAAATAGGCCGAGGAAGAGAAATAGCTGTTACACAGATCGCTTTAGCATCTTGATGGTTCAATTACATTTAACCTTTTAGAATTTGATTGTAATAGCCTAGATTGTATGCCTCTTATACACATGTTCTTGCACTTACTTACATGAGAAGTCTGACATCAGAGGGACTGAAGTCACTGGGTATTATGGTATTCCCCAACATGAATAAGGGATACAAACTCCTGCTGGGTATAATTTGATTATTTTCATCATTGGGAATTCACCGGTTCCCTTGGAATCAGGTTCTACTTCCGAGTAGATATGATAATTAAGAAGTATCTTATTATTTAATTAAAATTCCCTTCCTACAGCTTCAGTTCATTATTTTTCATCCTTTCACTTTCCTCATTATGAATGGCTTCTCTACACAGCCAGTAAGAAAACTTCAAATTTAATATTAATTGTAGAAAACATAAATCTCATTTTAAATGCAGTCTTGAACAAAGATTGTTTAGAGTTCAGTAGTTTGTTCTTCACAATTCCATTGCACTTTCTCCCAAAGGATCTGTAAGCATTGTACAAACATTATCAAATTTATCCTGAAGACTGTGCCATCCCTTCAACTATTGTCCTCATGCTACAGAATAAGGATATCAGTCACAGGGTAAGTGGCTTACTAAAGCTTATCACTCAGGAACTCTGTGGTAGAGCTGGGACTAGAACCAAGATCTGCTAACTTGCCAAATCTAGTCCCTTAAACACAAGACCATCCTTCTGGGGAAGAGAGAGGGTGGAAGAGGGGAGGGGGAAACCTGGGAGGAGGGAGCTGGAAGGGGGAAGCAAGGGAAAGAAGGGGGAGGGGAAGCTCAGGGCTCAGGGTTGGGGGTCTCGCCGGACCAACCTGACTTTCATGCTAATCTGCTCCTGGATTCGCATGTGGCCTTTGGTGGCCAGGCTGGCAGCTTTCCTGCCATAGACGGCCACGTTCCTCCATCTAGTGCGGAGATCATGGACGTTGGGGGCATCCCCCCCAAACCTGAATAAGGTCCATGATCTCCACCCTGGACCAGAAAGGCGCCTGCTTTCTCCAGCCTCTGTCAGGTTGTTGGGAGCTGGCAGACTGCCTGCCGGTGGCTTGCTGGCTCATGTTTGGGGGCCACTGGGTCAGGGGCCCCGGTGGCCACTGCTGGCTCTGGGCTGGCAGGCGTGGAGCTAGCACAGGCACTGTGGCCAGGGTCTACCCCTTTAATGTCTCCAGGCTGGAGGAGAGGAGAGTAAGCTTTCCTGGTTGTGCCCAGAGTGGCCACCAGGGCTCCCTGGGAAAGGCTGGAGGCCCCTTATTTCGAATTAAGTGTCTACACAGCACTTAATTCGACATAGCTATTTCGAATTTGGCATTACTCCTCGTAGAATGAGGTTTACCAAATTCGAATTAAGGGCTCCGCTCTTTCGAATTAAATTCAAAATAGCGGTTTGCATGTATAGATGATATTAAAGTTAATTGAAATAACGGCTGTTATTTCGAATTAACTTTGCAGTGTAGACATACCCTTGTTGAGGTATGAAGAACCTGTGTGCATCTTAACTCCTTGCATATTCCACCACTCCTATCTCTTTTCATCCTTCCCTTGCTAACAAACACAAACAACAAAGTCATAGCACCAGGAAGTTTCCTCCATTTCACCACTAAATCAGTGGCTTTTAGTTGTGTCTCCTTTGTGATCATTCATCTGTAAACTCTTAGACAATAAACTCTTCAAAGAAGGGACTTTATTCTCTTGGGTCCAATGAAAACATGAAGAACCTACATGCTCTGTTACAGAGTGATAAATTAAGCAAGTGTTTAACATTAAGCATGAGTAGATGCTTTGTTGAATCTGGGGCCTTGTCCATAAAGTGCCTTCTTACAGTTTTATTTTTTCTAATACTATATTATTTTAAAACATTTTCTTGTTTGGTAATAGTGTTTTGCGTTTTCCTCTTTGTTCTGCTCATTAGATTTTCATATACGATTTATCTTTCATTATTGCCATGGATCAATGCATTTTTAAAATGTTAATTTTGGGTCTTCTCCTGCTATCTCTGCATACTCAAATTTTCCCTTGATATTTACTGGAGATTTTAGTGCACACAGACTTCAGGGTCGGTGTATATGTTCTTAAAGAAGTAAACACATACATAGACTTAGATAAAAGGCTCATAGTTATTCTCAATTGCAATAAGGCTTGGGTAGTGTGATGAAGTCTAGCCCCTTTAAGGCCAAATTACAGTACCTGAGCAAAATGTAAAAGGGTATCAGAGTTAGTAAAAAAGAAGGCCAAATTTTAATGATGTATGTACTTCCTGTATGATAATTATTCTTATGTATCTGTACATATGTTACTTAATTTATAAGCCTTATATATAGTGGACACATGGGCTGGCATAACACTACTCTGCTTACACTAAAAAGATATTTTTAAACACTATACCTTGAAAATGAAAATTGGTCAAGGAATGATGGTTTGGATTAAATTTCTTTTTTTTTAGCTCCTAAAATAATTAACACTAACCACAATCTTCTCTTTTCTTAATTTATAAGCAAACGTAGCTGGCAGTCATCAATTGTTTTCCATAATAACTATTTTGTCAGTTTGTTTTAATTTTCTCAATTTGATTTTCTGAGCTTCGTACGGAACTGTACTTTATAAAAGAGCAATAATGAAGAGCCTCATTAGGCTGCTTTCTTTTTGTTACTGCTATCCAGGCAATTCCATTTAGAATTCAAAGAACAGAAATGATAATTAGTGCCTTTAGTGATTGTGGAGCACTCTGAAATGGTTTGCTTGAAAGGCACTTTAAAAGTGAAATACTGAATTTTAACCTTTGCATATGGCCACAAAGAGCTTCTATATGTTAGTGTTTGGACTGAAACTGAAATAACTTTTTCCTCACAACACTGAACTCAAGTAAAAATTAAATTTAAATATTTTTAGACTGATTTACTTACATACATACATACATACATACATATGTCATCCTGATAGGACTCTGTATTTTACTATGCAATAATTTTATCTGATTAAATCTGATACCTTTTCGATTTTAACAGGCAAAATAAGCAAGCTAACAGACAACTATTTCTAAAACGAAATGACCACTACTGGATGAAGTGCGCTCACAAAAATGCAGATAATTCTAACCTTAGCATCTGCTTCAGTCTTTTCAGCACCTCAGAATAACCTTGAAACCATTCTTCCTTGATTGTGAAGAAATTCATTGATTGCAATGTGGTCCTCTTAATGAGCATTTTAAATTGTTCAACTACATATTAAAGGATAACTTTTTCCCTTCCTAAATGATTAATGTCTGAAAATTGTTAGACTCAATCTCTTTTATCCTTGAACTTGGGAGGATTTTCATTACAGATTTTTCTGTCTTCATACTCTAAAGTATATGCCAAAAAAGTGACCTTTTGTCAACCTGTAATTATGTATTTGAAAAGATTTAAAGAGCAATGCTGGGAATCTGCTCATTAATTTCAAGAAGCTTAACAGTGATATGAGATGCATAAGTTATCTTAAGAATAAAGACAGTCTCTTACTTGGTCCTCAAAGGAGAGTGCCTGTGCAACGTCTCTTGGAAATCCATCAATAACTATACCTTCTTCATCAGGAATCTGCATTAATCTCTGCTTTATCTCAGTTATGGTTGTTTCCTTTCACAGAGAGAAATAGTTTAAAAAGTTTTTTTGGTGATGCACATTAAAGTAGCATGTAAAAATCTTTACAGCAAAGTACCAAAGAGAATATTTCTTAGGTGTGTTGTACCTGAGGGGCCAGTTCTCCCGTAGTAATTATTTTAGCAATTAGACTCCATTTTCTATTGCTGCTTGTATCATGGATCTTCTTCCTTAACAATTCGCCAACTGATATGTATTCGAATCCATAACGTTCAGCTATTTTCAAACTTTGGGTTCCCTTCCCACTTCCTGGGCCACCTATTGTAAAGATAAGCAAAAAATTGAGCTTTCATTTGAAATGTCAAATCTGCTGTGACATCTCTGCCATCAACCCCAATTTCCCAATGCACCATTAAATCAAATCCTGGAGTTGTTCCATAGTTAATACTCTCATCTAAATCAGTGGGGATATGTCTAGATTACATGCCTCTGCCGACAGAGGCATGTAAAATAGGCTACCTGACATAGTCAATGAAGCGGGGATTTAAATATCTCCGGCTTCATTAAAATAAAAATGGCCACTGCGCTGTGCCGGCTCAGCTGATCGTCGGCACAGCACGCAAGTCAAGCCGCGGATCGATCGACAAGGGAAGCCTTTGTCGACCGCTCCCTTATGCCTTGTGAAAGGAGGTTTACAGAACAAAGGCTTCCCTTGTCGACTGATCCTCATCTTGACTCGCGCGCTGTGCCGACGATCAGCTGAGCCGGCACAGCTCAGCAGCCATTTTTATTTTAATGAAGCCAGGGATATTTAAATCCCTGCTTCATTGACTATGTCGGATAGCCTATTTTACATGCCTCTGTCAGCAGAGGCATGTAATCTAGACATATCCTGGAAGTGGATCTTTTGCAGAACCATATCTAACATTAACTATCTAAAATAAAATACCTGCATGAGTCAAAGATGAGCTTGTTCTATCTGGGTTCACTTATCTCCCTTCACTAACCTCTTTAATCAAGATTTTTCCTGGTTTATACTAGATTATTATCAAGCATTTTGATTAAGGAAAGCTATTACTAACTGAAGCCAAATGGAAGAACAAATATCCTGATTTCCTTATATTAAAAATGTACCTCAGGCTACAAGTGGTCCAAATAAAGTCAATTGAACTATTCATGGAGTATGAGTATCAATGTATATTCCTAAATATATCTGCAGAACATTCTGGAATTTGTAAAATTAACATACTTTAAAAAGTTAAATTAATGGAGAAGGTATAACCAAATTATGTAATGATTTCTGTCAAAGCATACATATTTCAGGTAATTTAAGAATTATTCAGAATAAGTTTTATTCTTCTGTGTCCTTTTAAAAATAACATAATAAAGTGGAAGCAAATACTAATATCTTAGATAACAGATAAAATTAACTGGTTACAAAGAATAACTTATCTCTTCCTTACATTATCTATATTAGTTCCATAAATCTGTAATCTCTCTATATATTTTAGTGTGTGTCTGTGTAGGGATAACATATTAATGTATTGAAAATGATTCCCCCAAATGGAAGTGACTTCCCATAATTTGTTCCTCACAACTTAAAGTGTTTAGATTTATTATTATTATCAGTATTATTATTATTATTATTATTTGTTAAGATTGTTAAATGTTTAGATTTATAATTATTGCCCTCTAGAATATAATTTGTTAGGAATATAATATTAGGACTATGTAGCCAGAAATAGCTTCCCCCGCCTCCCCCGTGTCCCAGGGCATGCTCAAGCTTGTGCAAGGGGCTGCTTGAAATTGACATTGCAGAGATACATTGTAACAATGCATTGTCAAGCCACTAACTCTGCTCTGGGAGCCAAGCCCTGTAATTGACTATGGGCATTGTTACATAATTGATGCCTATTCTCTTCAAAACAACTGTAACTAACTCAGCACTCAGACAGAGAATGTTTCAAGAAATGCCACCCAGAAACTTGACTTTTTTGTAACTACAACTCTTGAATATGTAAAGTTGTTATTATACGAAATACTGTATGGGAAACATTAATTAGGGAAGGAGGTTTGTATGTAAGAGAGAGAGTGCTTGTATGATGAATGAATGGCTCTGAGAGGTGCCAGCCTGAGAATACAGCAACAAAGGGCTGAAGAAGGCATCAGGTGCCAGGGCAACCAAAAGGTGTCAAGTGGAGAAAACCAAGTACTGGAGGTCCACCCGATAAGATCACTGACTAGCACCTGGCAGCCACCCTGGAGACATCAGCATGATGCAGCAATTTCCATAGACTGGCATAGGAAGAAATTCCTATAAGAACTGGACTAAAAAACTATGGAATCAGAGTCCAAGGTTCTGCTGCCAGTGTACCAGGAGCTTCAGATGCGCATCTGATCAGGACTTCGCTCCCCACTACCATCACTTGTGTACAGAATACCTGGCCAGTATTCTGTCACAAGCAACTTCCAGGCTGGTAACTATAACAAATACACAGAACCTGAATGAATGGATGAATGAATGTTTATATGTATAAGGGTTAAGTAGTTAAACAACGTTGTTTGCTTCTAGCTTTTCTTCATTTTTGTATTATTATCTTTACAATAAATGTGGCTTTTTGCCTTATCCCCCTCATAAGATCCTGCTTGCTTTTATTGGTACAACATCTGCATGTCTGTTTTTCCATGAACTCCTCCTAAACAGTAAGAGCAAGGGTCACCAAAGCTGGTGCATATAAGAGGTCAGGACAGTGATGTAGTAAATTAAGGATTCACTGTGTAGCATCCTGACAAGTCTTCTACTCCATCAGTGATGATAAACATTCAGCTGCGAGCATTTTTCTGTGCTCCCTCAGTATATTATGCAAGCTCTGCACAGGTAGCTAACACGATAGACTTCACAAGAGTCGCCAAAGACCACACACTCAGATAAGATATGAAGGCACCTGAGTCAGGTTTGTTGTCAAACAAAGTACATTAATAGTCATCGGTAGCCAGATGGCCTTTGAGCCCTGTGACGGGGTGAAGCAACCCCGTCACTCTTGCGAGGCGAACGGGGCAGCCGGGGGGCAGGCAATCGGCGCGGCAGGCCCGAGCGGGGGTGAAGGGACGCGTCATCACGAGGCGCCAGGGCACGCCGGTGATGACGTCAGGGGGGCGACGCCAGGGAAGGCGGAAGGGAGGGGGAAGGGTTCTGTGTTCTTAGCTCCGGGGCTCTTTGGGCGATGGCTGGGTGACAGCAAAATAGATTCAAGTACTGAAAAGCTTGTGACAAGGAGGAGGGAGAAAAATTGTTCTCTGTGGATAGGACACTAAGCAAGGGGCTTAAACTGCAGCAAGGGAGGGTTAGGTTGGACACAAGGGAACGGAAGCCGGGCAAGAGGGCAGCGAAGGCGACTGGGGACCCGCAGAGGCCAGTGGGGGACCAACAGAGTGAGGGCCGGCGGAGTGGAGCAAGACCCAGGGCGGGCTGTGGAACCCGTGAGCAGGTGTGTTTGGGGTACCAGCCCCCCTGCTACCACTGAGGAAACGTCTCTCAGTGTCAGGGCCCTGGGTCGGGGTCCGGAGAGAGGGTGGGCCCGGACCCCCCACTCCGCCAGGAGATCCAGAACCAGGTGGTACATTGAGCGCAGCCTAGGGGCAAACAGGAAGGGCGGCGGCCCGGACTGGCGACCCCGTGACAAGCCCCTATGCATTTGTACCCATGAAAATGGACACGTCTCAATCAATAGTATGGATTTCACTATTGCCCCTAGGCAGGCCAAAGAGTTAAATCAAGGTACCCCAACATTTATAGAGAGTTATTTATACCCAAACATTTATAGACATTTATATCTGTGATATATACCTTATGTATCATCTTACACATTAATGACACATTTGGTATCTCCCCTTGTACTTTTCTCCAAAACATTCACTAGCCGTTGTTATGCTTTCACTCTTGTTGTTTCAAACTATTTTAGCATGTACTAAGTTGGAATGTCATTGTACTGTCCTGGTGGAATGTATTTACATATTTCATGTGCTTTTAGCAGTGCTAGTAGTTCCAGTTCCGCGAGACGCTGATTTGCAGGGAAACATCTGTTTTTGACAGGACATGTCTGTTACCCATAGAATAACTCTTGCTAACTTTGGTTCAAGCATCAGGCTCATGTTTCAGACTCTTTCTTTCTTTCTCCTACAGTACGCAGCTTCCTCTTCTCTTAACTTAAAGCAAGGTCAGGGTTTGGTTGTGCCAGGACAACCGGAAGCCCCAGGAAAAGAATATGCAAAGTAGGAGCACTGTTTGGAGGGACACGATATGAGTGTGTCCACTGGGGTCAGTGAGCCCACAAGGGAAAACTATCCTGCAGAGTGTTCCCTGGGGGCATCCGTTTCACCAAGGGAGTGGCCAGCAGGGTTGGGGCTCACTCATCTTGCCTTCCAGCACACCAGTAAATAGTCTCCCTGCCCCAAACCCTTCCCCCCCCTGCTCCCAGTCCTTGGCCACAATGCTAAGGTGGGGGGAGAAAAAAGACAGCTGGAGAAGCGGGGGCAGAGAACAGACCCCTGGTGAGCTGGGGGAGAGTGAGGACAGATGCCTGATGGCTGCGGGAGAAGGGGGGGTCAGAAGGAGAAAGGGAGAGGGACTCTTGGTGGGCAGAGAGAAGATTCAGGGGATAACAGACCCTGATAACAGTCTTCTGCACCAACCCAACCCCAAGACTTTGCCCTGATGAACCCGGGCAATGCCAGGTAAGTTTGCTAGTTAACAATTATTTGTGGAAGGAATGCACCCTAGGATATTTCTCCATATGTGCTACAAAATAATGTTAGTTAGATAGGTATGGTCAATTTTTATGGGCAAGATTCTGCCACTGAAATAAGTGGACTACTAATGGAATGAAATACTACAGAGTGAGAGTAACTGATGGCAGAATATGGTTCTATAGGCTATGTTTACACTACCAGATTATTTCACAATAAGTTATTTTGAAATAATAACTCCCGAAATAACAATTTCAAAATAAGTGTATTCCTCTTCACAAGCAGGAGTTATTATTTCGAAATAACAAGCCCGTTATTTTGAAATAACAGACTTGGTAGTATGGATGCTCACCTTGTTATTTCGAAATAACTCCCAAGGGTAGACCTGCCCACATATATTGTAATGGGTAATTATCAATTAATTTTAAATATATTACTATGAAGTTGTAAGGCTTCATTTACTGGCAACAGACTATTATTAAAGCACCCATCAACTGAGAATCAAAACACTTAACAAAGCTTAAAGGTTAACTGAGTTACCAAAGAAAAACAATCAATTCAGTTTCCTATCCTTCAAGCTGGAGATTAAAAATGTTCCTGAAATCATCTCATAGCAATAAAGCAATAATTAACAGTCAAAATAGATATAGATAATATTGTCTGGTATAGAAAGTGTGGGAATGAAGGGAAAAAGTTTGTCTTAATCTATCAGAGTTGCCTATATTTGATGTGAAAACCTAGGAAAAAGATCACCAACTAATGTCCCCTTTATTAATACTTGAAAAAATTCAGTTTTTACTCCTAAAATTTCAAAAGAGCTGAAAAAAGCCATACAGCCTGTTGAAGAAATGAGGTATCACTATCTTCAGGGAAAAATTTCTTTTGCCATGCAACACATGGCAAAAATGAGGTACAGACAGTCCTGTATTTCTATGCTTTCATTTTAGTTTTGTGCACAGAAAAATAGTTAAGCCACAAATTATTGGATAACAAAGGTTCACAAACTTCTCATATATGAGGTCAGTTTTTATCAGTTAGAAAATTACGCCTTTATACCAAAATGTGATTTAGAAAATGATCAGAAAAAGTTTAGAGCGTTAACTAAGATAAGAGGACTAGAACAAAATTATTTCCTATGTCAAATAATTATCCATGTTCCTCTTTTTACAAAAAGGGAGGAAGATGAATTGTGACCATTTTTCTGGATAATGTACAGAATTTGAAAGTTATACTCCATGTATGACAGTTTCCAACAAATGATGGATAGATGTAAGGAGGATTCTTTGCCCGCTAGGCTTCAGAGCTATTCAATAGGGGAAAGTCAGCTCAATGGCGATGTAGCCTTGGTGGGCTGCTTACATAGTTCCTCTTTAGGGCTACGTCTACATTGGCCCCTTTTCCGGAAGGGGCATGGTAATTTTTGAAATCGCAATAGGGAAATGCGCGGGGGATTTAAATATCCCCCGCAGCATTTAAATAAAAATGTCCGCCGCTTTTTTCCGGCTTTTCTAAAAGCCGGAAAAAAGCGTCTACACTGGCCCCGATCCTCCGGAAAAAGCGTCCTTTTCCGGAGGATCTTATTCCTACTCTGAATTGCCCTTGCACTTTGAAGTAGGAATAAGATCCTCCGGAAAAGGATATTTAAATCCCCTGCGCATTTCCCTATTGCGATTTCAAAAATTACCATGCCCCTTCCGGAAAAGGGGCCAATGTAGACGAGCCCTAGGTGTGTAAGAGGAAGATCTTCTCAGAACCCATGGCCTACTCTCTACGTACTGTCAGGCAAGAAGCATGCACTAAGTAGGATTCAGCCCAATTACAGGAGTACATACCCACTGTGCATTTTACCTATGTCCAGTCTTCAGCCAATTTGTGCAATGGAATCACATTGATTCCACTGCACAAGGGCCTTCCATGGCCCCAGAGCAAGGGCCTGGATTTGCACCCTTGTGAAAAGGATGGCCATCTATTTATTACTTCTCCTTCTGATGAAGGTCAAACAACTCAAAGAATTCTGTTTTAGAAAGTAAGAGCAACATACTGAGGAAAACACCATTGTCTAGCAGCTTAGGAGGGGTATGCACCAAGAGCTATGAAAATGTGATGCTTTTTTGTTTTATCTGAATTGCCCTTTGCATTTCTAACAACCCCTGCAGAGTTCTGCAGACATTTTGTTCTCAGCATTTCTGTAGTACATCATAAAGGAGACACACACAGTATTCTCTCTCATGGATGGATGTTTGCTCCCCTTATATAATTCCTTTTAGACTGAGAATCTGATTTGTCACTGCTTTGGATCTTGTGTAGTCATTTATATTCATGGAAAGTAAGTGCAAAATGAGCACAAAACACTACCACCAGGGAGAGAGGAAATCTGATTGGGCAGCAATTTACACTCATGTTACACAGATATAAGTGGTTAAATATGATGCAAAACACTGGAGTATCAGGACCAGACAAGGCATTTAGAAATCAGGCCCTATTGGCATATGGAAACATAACACCCAGACAACAACAACAAAAAATATCCAGACAAGTGAAATGCAAATGCTTTATACCCACTGAACAAACTACTGACCTGGATTTAAACTGTAGATGCACTGACTGTGCTTAGCATATTTTACCTGAAGTTGAAAATTATCTCTTTGCTTGCAAATGCCAAGGAGCAATCATGAATTTTGTGAAAAGAATGTAATTAACTAGCTCATTCTTACAGAGGAGCACATTGGACACAACTGATGGAGTGTAGCTACAGATAAACGATCAAAGTAGTGGGCTGAAGAGGCACACTTTCACTTAACAGGACACGATGGTTAATGCATCAAGGAATTTTAAGCGTAGGTCACACCAGACCAGTATTTTCTTCTCAAGGATAATAACTGATATAATTTTACAGATGTTTCCTTATCTGTGGACAACTATATTTTCTTATTCAACAACCAAACCAGAGACTTAGTTTGTCCCTAACCCAAGGAAAAGGATTACATTTAAACAGAGTAGGTATCTCATTCATTTGCATTATAAATACTAGTGCAGGGGAAATAATATGGGTTTCTCAAACACAATTGCCCCTGACTTTGCCTTCATACCTAAGACAAGGATGATTTTTGGTCGAGGTCTTGTAGGATCAAATACGTCATACTCTTCAATTAGCTCAGCAGTTTCAGAAAGATCTGTGTCACTTTCTATGGAGAACTGGTGGATTGGGGGGAGTCGGTCATATCGTCGATAAGGAAAATTAGGATTGTCAGGCATCACTGCAAAATAATAAAATAAACTGGAATAATGGAGATAAATAGCAAAATCAACATTGATGGCTTTTTTATTAAATGAGGATAACAAAAATAATGTAGTGTTTCTGCAATAAGAAATGGTGGTAACAAAATTTCTTCAACATCTTGAATGCCATTTTACTTACTAAAGCAGTGGTCCCCAACCGTTTGGGGTTGCCGGGCGCCAGGGGGCGAGGCCGTTCG